CAAAATATGCTTAATGGCAAACTGTTTAAAAACAGACAATAAGGGAAAAGAACTATTGGTTATCTAAGAATAAAAATAACAATAATGAAGCACAAATATGATGAAATATAAGAAGCTCTTAAAAAAGATAAAGCTATCCGCTGTCTAGCACAGCAAGAAAAAAATATATAGAAGAAAACTAGCTACACCAAAAAAAAGCAGCTCGATTACTTTAAAAATTTAATAGTAAAAGCAAGATTTCATTGCCAGGAGCAAATAAATCAGTTTATATTATCATCAAAATCAAAAGTACTCATTGCTCAACTGAATTTTTATTGCGTTTTCTTAAGTGTGGAATGTGACAAAAAAATATTTTCGTAAAACAAAAGTAGAAGGAATTAAAAGAAGAAATATGTCAAGGGAGGAATTACCAAGACAAAATTCTTCTTTTGACATATTGTATTGACAATAATAATGAAAATCTTATTATTGTCATTCAAACGTAATTTAAATAATAATTTAAAGCCTCTTATTTTACGTGATGCAGCTGTTAAAAAAAAAAAAAATTAATGAAAAAAAATTAGGATGAAAGATAATAAAAATTAATAGAGTAACAAAAGAAACATTCCTTATCCAGATTTGTTATCAATCATCCATACTATTTTTTAGGTATTTGTTTTCAATATCGTGTTAAAGAAGAAGATCCTCTTGAAGTTTCTTGGGAACGTCCACAAGTGGTTAAATAAATGGGACACTAATCACGTACCATGTGAAGTATGATAACAAACCTGATAAACTATGGTCATTTCCATTATTAAATGATTTTGAAAAAGGTGATCATAGTCTTTATAGCTAGGATTATGAGGTAGTTTTGTTTAATATAAATCATTACTAATTTTGAGTTTTGTTTAAATGTTTAAATAAAAGTCAAAAATTTTTAATTTTGATTTTATTTTGTTTGTTGGTGAAATCAATAAAAATATGTTCCAGTTATCTGTTTACTGCATTTGAGTACTGTGGTATTTATCTTTTTAAATATTATGAATCATATTTGATGGGTGTATTTGTACCAATTTTTTTTTATTTAAAGATATTTTTTTAATTATATATATGTGTTGTGTTTAACCGTTAATTTTAAATAATAAAATAAAAAATTAGACTAATAAAATAACACAAAAATTACTTTTATTTATACATGAAGTAAAAGAAAAAATCCATAAGGGTTAACCTTAGACACAATTACATTTACTTTCACATGAACATTAAAATAAAGGCAGTTAAAACTACAAAAAAAAGTTTATCAAATTATATTTACGTGTACATGAACTGCCTATCGAGAAAAAGAAAGAATCCAGAAATAGAGGGCTAACCTTAGGCAACATGACAGGTTACTGATAGAATACAAAGTCCTTATTTTAAAGGCTTACCTTTTGTGTGTGGGTGTGTGTTTGTTTGTACGTGTGTATACTATTAGAAAAGAGCAGTCAATTTTTTTTTTAAATTATAATAAAAAGTTTAAGAAACTTTTTCCTGCCATCCTATACTTTTTTTTTTACAGTAGATTGATCTTATTTTAACAGTATCCTACTCTGAAATTTGTCTTTTGGATAAAAAAACGTTTTTTTAATAAATTTGTTGATAAAGTATCCGCAAAAATGTAAACAGTTCGTGG